TTAATGAGGACGTCCTACCGAAATGCCTCAGATATAGACCGCCTGTGAACACTGACCTTTGCCGACGGACGATGGCAGACTTCAAGGAGAAAATGATCAGGGTACTGATACGAGACTGCCACGCCCGCATCCACAAGTACCGCCAGATGATTGAACATCATTCGTCAACTTGCCAGTCGATCTTTACGGCACACGAGCTGGGGATCCTCAAAGCGGCAATTCTCGACAGCGCTCGGCGTCATCGCCGGTTGCGTGATGACCAGTTGTCTGGAAAATTTGAGAAAATAAGTCCGCCAAAGCATCCCTCTGCTGACGGTGCCTTGGTTCACAACTTGTCCTCTCATCGTTTCACTCAGCAACAACTAGCGGTTCTATCCTATGACGCGAAGTTCAGCACAAGAGATGCTCAACCAGAAGACTTTATTGCATCCTTTGAATCGGCGCTCCAGAAGTGTGAGGCAGACGAGGAGTGCAAAAACGCCATGCGACAACAAGTGTCGACCTTACTCCTCCAACACAAACGCCAGATGACGATTTCTAAAGCAGAAGATCGAGAACTTCTGAAGATACGAAAAATGAAGGATATCGTCACCCTGCCCGCCGACAAGGGGCGCTCGACTGTCGTCATGGATAAGGCTGAGTACTGTACAAAACTAGGCAACCTCTTGATGGACAAGGAACCTTATGCGCCATCGACCGTCAGCGAGTTTAAGAAGCTCGTAAACAGCATAAACAATACGATCGGCAAGCTGAGGAAGGCGGGAGCTCTTACGACAAGGGAGGCGTTGGCCGCAAAAGCCAGTGATACCGCGATGGCGCGCTTCTGCGGCCTACCAAAGGTCCACAAGCAGGGGCTGCCGCTACGCCCCATCGTCTCCTTACGTGGTACTCCAACCTTTGGGCTGTCAAAGTGGCTGTACCAGCGACTTTGTTTCCTTACCAAGAATTCGGAGTGGACAGTGAAGTCGGCTGAAGAGTTCTTGACGCGCATCAAACATCTTGAGGTGGAGGCAGATGAGGTGATGGTGTCATTCGACGTGATCTCATTATTCACCTCCATCCCACCCGCGCTGGCTATCGACACTATTGATGGCTTTCTCCGGGAAAAGCATGATGAGACCGACCAACAGCTCAAACGAGCACACATAATCGAGCTCCTAGAACTGTGTCTTAAGACCTTCTTTACATTCAACGGCCAAGTCAACGAGCAAAAGAAGGGGACACCGATGGGCTCGCCTCTGTCTGGACTAATTGCCAAAGCAGTTTTGCAGAGACTCGAGCAGCAGGTCTTCAGCTCGTACCCCCCGAAGTTCTGGGCCAGATACGTCGACGATACGTTCGTTGTAATCAAGAGGAGCGAGGTGAAGGCTTTCAAGACATTGTTGAACTCAATCTTCCCCGACATTCAGTTTACTATGGAAGAGGAAGTAAACAATCAGTTGCCCTTCCTGGACGTACAAGTTACGAGATTGACAGACGGGAAGATAAGGACAACGGTTTGCCGTAAGGCAACGAATACTAGGCGCATCCTCCACTTCCGAAGCAACCACCCTGTTGGTCATAAACGCAGTTGTGTCAGAACTCTCTTTCAACGTGTTCAAACACACTGCAGCGACGACAGTGGGAGGAAGGCGGAGATGAATTACTTACAGGGCCTTTTTAAAGCCAACGGCTACCCGAAGTCCTTCATACGCAAATGCCTTAAAAAGCCTCATTTTGAGCGGTCGAGTGGAGAAAAGCCCAAGTTCTGGCTCTCAATACCCTATGTGAAGAACGTATCAGAGGCAACGGCAAGAATCCTAAAACCTTTTGGGATTGGCGTGGCTCATAAACCAGAATGTACCATCAGACAGCAAATCATGAAGCCCAAGTACCCGCTACCAACAACAGAACAGTCGGCGGTGGTCTACAGCATACCATGTCTAAATTGCAATGCAAGGTATGTTGGTGAAACGGGCAAACGCCTCGGCACATGATTGCACGAACACCAACTTGCAATCAACCGCAAGGACAAGCTGTCTTTGGTCTATGGCCACATACGAGAACTGAACCACAATTTTGCCTTTGAGAAAGCGAGGGTAATTGGTCGAGCCAATGAGAAGATGGCCAGACAGGTGCTCGAAAGTTGGTCCTCGACTGGTACACTCAACCGAGCTATAGATCTACATCCCGCCTACCAAGCACTGCGTACAAGGCTCGGATCAGTCCGGACAGGACCAGTAAGGCAAGCGAGCACGCGGGACCGAGAGTCAACGCTCACGGAAAAGAGCGGAATTGGGGGCCAGAGGTCATGTGACCAAAGCCGAACACTGTCTCACCGATGCGCCCGCGAGGCTGAATGCTGCTCACCTGAACAGCAACGACCAATCAGTCCACCGGCTGACGTGGGAGGGGCCAAGCGGCACGTTGATTTGACCACAACTAAGCCGACCCCAAAGGGAACAAAGGTCACACAGGCCTATCAGCGGTCAGCTCCGGGGAGGTCTAAGCCAGTCAGCGGCAAACAGGCAGGTCAAAGTTCGTGCGTCCAGCACGGCTATAATACGAGGCAAGCGGCAAGACTGAATAACTCAAGACCCGCAAGTACAACAATTACGCTACTCTGATGATGGAAACGAGGACGTTTCCGAAACGTCAGTTCGAATACAATATGGTCCATATAAATATATGTGCAGAATGTTATTACTGACAAGGAAAAGATGGACTGGGATGGCCATTTCTGGCATACCAGTCGAAATTAGCCGGTCATACATGACCCCGAAATGTGGCACAACCAGGGCTCGAACTTGCGACCTGTTAGTCATAAGTTCAACGCCTCTAAGCACTGAGCCACGCGTTCGTTCTCACGTCGGTTTCGATCTGGAATATTCAGTGGTAGAGGGACGCTCACCGATCGTCACCGATCGCATATATAAATATATGTATCTAAAATATATCATTCTAAGTTCTTCAAGTTTTTTGTAATCAGAGCGGCGCTGGCCTCATTCATACCGTTCTGTCTGACGCTACGGCAACTAATGTTAGAGTTATAATTATAATCAAAATTTCATAGATGTTTCTCACAGAGAGAAGCTAACTGACAATATAACGCAGAACTGTCCAGTTAGTTTGTACCCTGTATACATCTGCATATTTTGTAAGTTTTTCAATTTCCACCCTTCAAAGACAGTCAGTAAACCCACTCCCTTGCTGGGTGCATTAGGTGTTATAACTCACGAAATGTTAACTGAAATCCTGAAATGTGTTTTCGACTCGAAAATATGAATTAAGCAGGGTTACAATATTACCCATCATGCAGCATAAACTCACCCCCCTTAGAACGAGCTTCCTTCCGGTCTTTCGAAAAACAGCACTTTAAACGTACCATTATGCATCATTTTATAGAAAAAATCTCCAAAAAGTTTCTTACCTGCACTCGTATGGTATAACATTCCCTCATTTTCGCCTTTTTTATCGGTAAAAAATATTTCTGGTTTTAAAAGGTTTTAGTGAGATCTTTGAGATCGTTAAATGTTCATTTATAAAGCATCGCATCGGCCAGTTGAGTAGTGCTGCTTATAAAGTAAACAAGATGAACAACATTAATTGCAAAAATTTTCGAGCACCATATCACATCTTTCCAATAGCATATAGTAGTATGTTATTTTTCAAAAAAGAAGGCATTCAGCTGGTAGTTCGAAAACCGTGAATCCAAGTGTAGCAATTGGGGTCATGCTGCATAGTAATAATATTGCCAAATGCATTTTAGAATTTTGGTAAAAATTCCATCCGATAGTACACTTACTGCAGAACTTACTCCTGCGAGGATTGTAAACTAATTCATAAAAAAGATCAAAATAGGGCAAATTCCTTTTGGTCAGCGTTCGATATTTTGAGACCCGCGTGCGAATCTTCTTTTTTGGGAGAATTTTTTAAAAAGCTTAACTGAACACTCCATATCTTTTCCATGCGGAATCATCTCATTTATGTTGGATGCTAAGCCATTGCTATAGCTGTACTCAGCTGCATTAAACCCTAAATTTGAGGGAATTAATTTTTAGCATTGCACAAGCTGCTTTTTACTGACGACGTCCTCAATAGATGTACTGATTAAATTCCACAAGCAAGAGGCATCTCAAACAAACTCTAAGCAAGCTGTCAGAGAATTATGTTTGCGAGTGTATCTCCCCCTTCTCTAATAAACCGATGAATGTTTTTTGCAAGACCTCCGGTAAACTAGTCCCTTTAAGTCAGAATGTAGCTAATTATCATCCATAGGTTAATGGAAAGGGATTTGTCAGACAACAAATCTTGGTTTTCAGTTGAATAATATTATGATTAATATTTTCAGTTAAATGCTAGGCAGTTTTAAGTTTCGGAAATATTTCAATTTCTATTTGAATCGATAGAGTAAAGTCAGCGGCCTCGACAGCAACGACAGCAAGGGAAATACTTGAGAACTGCCAGCGCTCCAAAAACCCGATCCACGAGGTCCGACCGGAAGCCGTCAGTTCGTTCATACTTGGTCAGTCTATCCGCCCAGGCTTTTGCAACATATGGAATCTGCCAATTTCACCATTGTTTACGTACCTCGGTTCGAAAGCAGCGAGTGCGGGAGAAATATCCGCTTGCCGACAGGCGGAAGGCCTATGGGGTAAATTAACTCTTTTGTCCATCTTTCTGAAACAAATGACGGTAGGGGTGAGTTATGTAACCCCCTTGGGTGATTGGTCAAAAGCCTACTCTCTTATCTTACTTATTTAGGTGTGCTTCACATCCGTTTGCCGGGCAGTAGGTCGCGAAGGGGTTATGCAGGACACAGTATACGGCCGATTATTTGGTAACCCTAAAGGAAAATGTAACGGCAGGAATTATGGTTGACGATCATTAATAGTTCATCCTTATTTACGTTGTATTTCCGAATCAAAAACGTATTTCAAAATTTCGGTCAACGTTTCACGAGATAGCACACCCATTGCATGACTTATGTTTTGCGAGGATTGTAAGCTAATTTGCAAACCAGACCCTTCAGGGCAAAATGCCATTGATCAGTGTACGATATTTTGGGACACGAGTGAAATACACGCGTGCGGTTGTTCTTTATGTGTTTTGAGGGAATTGCTTAATGAGCTTAATCGGAAAATCCATGATTTTTTTATTGTTCTTTTAGGGGGTCCCTCACTTACGGAGGATACTTAGTTTTCAGGTTAGTTTTTCACAGTCGCTCTAAACCCTGATTTTTTGCATTGATAGAACTGATTATCATTGACGAAGTCCTTAACACATGTCGTGAATGAACTGAATAAATTCCATAAACTAAATAGATCTTAACTAAACTCTTATCAAGCTGTACGTGAGTTTGTCTAGGACTTTATATGTTCATATTTGACAAAACAAAACATTCTACACTACGTCCTGAATAGAGCTTATTCTTATTTCTAGGTCTAGTTTGGAAGCTACGGGTTTTCAGTTTTCAAGTTTCTGGAATATTTAATTTTTCATTCGACTCATTTGTGAAAAAAATGAATGACCTCGTCGAGAGTAGGATCAACTACAGCAGGGGCAGTCATTGAGTAAAGTCAACGGTTTAAACACCTGAGCTATCAGATCCCAGCGAGAGCCGTGATTTTAATCACATTTGAGCCAAATTACCCGCCCAGCCCACTGCAACGTGTAAAATCCACCAATTCCGATACATTATGCTGACTGCCCTAGCGGGCTTTCCTAGGCAATCAACCTAAAATCCACCAGATGACTATTAGGCTCATTTAATAAGTACGCGTTTTGGCAGATTCAAATGGTCCGTTTGACTGACCACGATTGTCGAGTTTTCATAAGTGGGTCAGAAGAATTATTTAAATCCGCCAAAGTCACTTGCCGGTTTCCTTTTTCGGCATCTCTGTATACAGAACAGGCAATCAAAACCTTAGAGTATCTAGACCACCGTTGATTCGCACTTTTCCCTGCTCACCGTTTGCAAATTCCCGTAAAAAATTTTCGGTGGCAAAAGTACCTGACCCCCCGTTAGAATATAAATACAAATGTAATCACCCTGAACTTTGATGCAGACTTTCAGCTTTATATTTGTTATCTGCTACTCCTAGTGCCGTTTTACCCCAAACTGCAAAAAAAACAGTCTGATAAACTGTCGACTTGTTGCGTGTGAATCCATGCCATGTCTGTTGGAAAAAAAACTCTCCACCTATCGCCTTTTAGTCTCACCGTTAAACTTCCCAAACGTGCCAAACGACACGCGCTAGAAAACCACGCAAAATCCCCCTATATAGTTGACTGGGTTTATTCAAGTGCACTGTAGCTAAAGTGCTAAGAATGCAAGCGATCATATCTGTCTGCTCTATTTTCCTTTTAGGCGTAAGAGGTGAGTTAAGTACTAGTCGTTAAATCACAGTGCCTTTAAGTGCTCAGACGATTAATGGCGTCTTGTAGAATTCCCTTAAACATGCTTTTCTTGTGACTTTAGAGAAACCTCCGATATACCTGTAGATGTTTAGTCGCAATATATTACATACTGCAGACGCTTTATGCAATTACGAAATAAATAGACTGCTCAACTGGACAGAATAGTAAACAGATGACATTCCGCGTAATGCTCTATCCATAACTTGGCCGCTACTGCAATAGGCAGCTTTAGGAATCTGGCTAAAATGGTAACTAATTATACCCCCTCGAAGGTACATTTGAACGTACTGATTTACTACGCGAAAATGAAACCCTTCGTAAGAATGTCGTCCCCAAAATAGCGTCCTCAACTGCTTCCAACTTATCAGTGGAGATTTAAGTACTCTTTTTGGTTTTTCAAATCCTTCCTTGATTACTCTTTTCCCGGCTTTAGGATCATTTCTGTCGTCAGAGGATGATCCACTGACTTACCCACTATCAAACACACCAGGAAACATCACCGTCCTTTGTCCCTTTCAACCAGATGTAAGTCCAGATAAATAGTAGGATGCCAGATAGGTTTGCAAATACACGTCTACACTCTAAGCTCTTAAAAACACTAACGTTAGATTTTGGTTTCGTTTGAAGTATTGCTTTGTATAACCAAAAATTGGTTCCAAAATAAAATGTGGCAACACTTTGAGAGATAATTTTAAGTGTATAAACTTTCAAGTCGCTCTCACGAAAATAATGTTTGTAAATGCTTAGCCCTAAACCTACTAGCTCATTATGAAGAATATTTATGAGAATTTCGTCCACTAGTGCATAACCGGCCATTTGAACAATTCTGCGCTTTAATGCTCTGTGGGCGCGCGAAAAAAATCGGAACAATTATATATTTGTCGTCTCAGTGGCTGCGTGCATTCTGAAGGAGACTCTGTTCACTGCAGTTAATACCCTTAATAGTGACGTCGTGTTTGCTGCAAGAAGAGGAATCGCCTACCTGAGTTTTTGCAATTACAACAAGACTTGCTCTCCCCCATCTGCCCAGTTTGTCGCCGAAACGAAAGGTCGTTCCTCAGAAAAACAGTCTTGTGAGCAAAACTTGCGTTGCACGTAACAATCTATATACCGGCGGCTGCTCGACGCTAAAAGTGGCAGGATCTCACAGCACAAAAACAGAGGCAACCACTACGCCCGGTCTCTTAGCTCAGGAGCCAAAACTTGCTTAAATCGCTTTCAGATAATATTGTTTTAATATTGCCATACTATCAGTACAGTGCAGTTACTGAATACTACGCTAATACCTCGCTGTGGCTGATTAACTTCGGCCCAAATATTCATAAATCGAGTTTCGGTTTGTGCAATTTACTGGTTGAAATACTGTAGCGATGTCGATTTCCAGGAGAAACCTTGAAGGAAGTGTCCCGAAGAGGTGATGAAATCGGAAAATATATCTGGGCGAAAAGGTTACACAAATGTTTGGTCGCCATGCAACAATCCAAGCAGAATCCTGACAACCGTATATGATGTTTTGAAGAAGGACACGGAAATAGGAGCAGCACCCGTTAGCGTGGATGACCTTACGCTAAATTCCAGGATGGGCAAATATCTCCGTTTTCAACCCTTTTTCAAACTCCAATAATAACGTTTGCCTCACCCTAATTTCCCTGGACGTTAGCGCAACGTGCCCGAAATGAGGGGCTCCTGTTGTTGTGCCTTGTTTTTTTGTATATCATTCATTTACGTAGCTTCAAAGGAAGAAAAGCTGGCTTTAAGCAAGCCATGTTGCAGAAGTTAGTTTTCCATCTGACAATACTTTCGGCATGTTGTGATCAGTCGCCGAACGGGTGTGTTTAAGACTCATTTAAAGTTGGGATGGGACTTGAAGAACAGACTGGTAAGTTCATCCTTGCAAAACAGTCTGTCATATTCAAACGAACTAAAATTCGCAATTTTATAACTCCCCGCCCAGCCGCGATCTAACTACAGTCTTTTAAATGTCCGTTATTTGAATTACACATAGATCAAAACCTTACTTATCGGCTCACGCGGAAATTAAACTCCATGAGGAAAGCACATCAAATAACTTTTTTTGCTTTAGACGTTCATCGGGGAATACTTCTACTATGTTAGCGATTCGACCTGCAGTAGTCTCCAAGAAACGCTGCCTTGCAAAGTGGAAATAGGTTTGGCACTTGCTATTCATTGTTACACAAATGGCTAAAGCAATTTAGATGTATACTAATGTACTTTGCCAATTAATATGTAGCCATTGACGAATTGGTTGACTTAATGTAGAGCTTCTTTTGCATTTAGTAAAGAACATGTGGCTTCTGACAATCTCCTTTCGGAAAACCACATTTCCTCAGCTAGTGGTCTTTCCAGCACATAAAAAATACGCAGTTACAATGCAAGCGAGGCCGCTCAACAGCACCAAATTATGCAAGTATTTTGTTTATTGATATGTATTAAAGGCTTATCAATTGCGCTGACGGATTAATTTTTATATAATCTGCTGAAATGAAACTATACTGAACAAAACTGCATTGGAATATTTAACTAAAAGTCAAAAAGCACTCGAATTTGTAAACTGAACTTCACATGTCCAAAAGTGGTGTAATTCTGGCCACTTTAATATAATATATGAGCTAACCTGCTCAAAAATATCTTCGTGTGTTGGGAATGCTAACTCCTTTGATTAATACATAAGCCCAAATTCCCATATAGTGGCTGCGAGGGGCTACTAAGTATGTATAACTAAAAGGTTGATCTTAAAATTCTTACAGTGAAATCAAACAAAGTTTGCGGGAAATTTAGCAAAAGATCTCAGGCCGTTTTAACTTTTATACAATGCTCATCACTAACGAATCCTCAAACTGGTCGAAATTAGGATTTTTGGACTTACACATAATTATCTTTCGCTTAGGCAACATTTTGCGATCTTTCAGATCACACATTCTCCTTCGCGAATTCAAAACCGTTTTATCATGAAGCCGGAGAGAGGCGACGTCATATGACGGTTATGTGTGCAGTCAAGACGCCGAAACACCCCTTAGGATTGAAGGTATGAAGCACGCATTTGTGCAATCATTCTGTTCGCGAGGTCACAATCAACAGGCTGCCTACCTTAGACGTGAAATTTGAACTGAACAAACAGTTCTTGGAAATTTTTCGGATAACCTGACATTTATAAAACCATTCAAAGCAATTTTTAACGTTAACGTGCCGATCACAAGTAAACTGCGAAATATGACAGTGACATACTTGTAAAGCGGGTTCACAAGCGAAATCATTCGTGCCAGTGTTTGGGTTCATTAACATAATCACCAGAACTCAGTAGCGCGATCCTTCGCCATACTTGCGAAAGGACAAAAAATGTCAATAATCGCATATAAATCAATCCCACATTAAGACTATGACTGCAGGATTATATTTTCTGCCTTGGGGCAAGTTTACCGTTAAATATTCTTATGCAGAATTAGCGCTTGCTGTTAAAAGTGCGCCGATTTTTTTGATCGTAATATGGTGTTTGCACGCTGCTTAAAACAACCCACATGGGTAGGCAGTTAATGTATGTACATAAAATTTTGACATGAACCCTCTACAGATACTAACTGTTTTCTTCCTTCCGAAACAATTCCGGAAGTTATCAGTTTTCCTAGACGGCGTTATTTACTGCAGTTTGAATCTGCAAAAAGCGGATCCTTGCGGTACGTCGAAAGTTCTCGCATCCAAACGACTAATCTAAACATTCGTAGATGACGTAAGGTTTGACCGTAATTCGGATATGGTCTACGCTCGCATCAAAGTGAAAAACGATGCCGACGCTTTTGAAAAATTCCACAGCGTAATTTGTAAAACCACTGGAACATATGGACCGAATTATATCTCGCACTATGTGAGCTTTGGTTCTAATGGTAAGTACTTTTCAGATAGAAAAGAGATCAGTATGACACAGGTTTCTGAAGTTCGTGTCATCATTTGTTTCTTTCGATTTTAGACTACATAGATTGACCTGAACGTTCTCCGTCCACCATGAGCTGCCGAGAGCTCAAGGCCTGAAAGGAGTAATGGCAAATATTTCATTCTTCCGGAAGTTTTTAGTTTTAACTTGTGTGGCAACTTAATAAAAAAATTTGCTTTCAACACTTTCCCACATTTTGGCAGAAATAGTCGAAACTTATATTTAAATGGCATTCCATTAGGCAGTAATTATTAGAAAATAGTGAAGGATGTTGCTTATACACGATAAGCCTACGCGTTTCCAAAATAAACAATTCTGACCATCAGGTTGCAATGCATACATAAACGCAATTCGGGTACGGTGATATGGATGCCCACACAGTTTATCACAAAAACTCGGTATGTGCGCCGAAAACCAATATATACATCTGAGGCGTTCTAACAGAGAACAGATGCCGTTTTCAAAACTTTAGGAGGCAAAATTGCGCCAGATTTATAAGGAGCCCTACCAAATCTTTGAGTGACAGGATGCGCTAAGTTTGATGAGAAAATTAAAACCATCTCCACTGACCGACGTCCAAGAGACTATCTGCCCATTTCCAAAATGGATTGGGGAACAATTTGAGAGAAAGGTATCTTCCTAGGCCTAAACGTGCGAGCAGGCCACCAGTACATGCGAAGTGAGCGGAAAGAACGATGCCCTACTTGAGTTGAAGTTCACAATGAAATCTAGCACAGTCATCAGTATAATACATTCGACAAGCTAAAAAACGTAATGATGTGCTAGAAGTCATAGTTTGATAAGTCGCCGATTGGCAAAATAACCTAATCCATCTTTAGTATGAACGCCAGGCCACAAGGGTCGTCTGCTAGCATTAACTTAGTAGTACATCTCACATCGGCAAGACCTAAAATAGTCTGTCGCACGATTTAACCCTCGAATTCACTTCAGTGCATCTCCCGTTTTCTGGACTTGTACTGGCTACTGAGTCGTGAAATCGTCAGGGACGAGTTAGGCGGGTCCAGTGTTTAATTTCCCAGACTCGTGGAAACAAACTTATGTCGCACCTCCGTGAAGCGATAGAAGTGGGGATTTGGGAGGTTTCCAATTGAGGGGATGTCTCTGTTCTAATTAGGATCCAGGGGATCGCGATTACTCCTGTCTTCTATGTCACAACTGTACTTATACAGTTTGTTGGTTGCATGTCATCGTTCCTGGAGCGTATGTTTGCAACGCGACGTCCGGGAACACTATAAACTCCCATTCTATGGTTTTTTTGTGCCGCCCTTGTTTTCGTTGACCGAGGTACCGATGCTTTTGGGCCTGCAAGGGCTTTGGTCAGGTATTTCGTAAAACATGATAGGAGGAGACCGTTCTACGTTGCTGTGGACATCCAAACTGTCAACGCCGACTCGACCGGCGTGCTCAGCTGCTCCAAGACTAACGATGAAGTCTTTCGCCGCATCAGCAGTTGTCATCTGCGACTGCGAGTCTGATGCCGAACGAACAACTCATGTTTATGCATTCGCAGTACAACCTAGTTTAACAGAATATCAAATAACGTTAACAAGGTCGGTAATGCACGCGAGAAATTCGATCGCCAACTAAGCAGTAATTCCTGGCTAATGCATGTAGAGCCAAGAAGTTTGCTGTTTGGTCGGTCGGGCGCAGTTGCTGCCTTAATGCAGGTGGATCAAGATTTCAAAAACTTAATTAACCGCATTTGACCTCTGTAAATGCACGGCTCTGTACATTTGCACAACGCTTACAGGCATCGCATAATGTCATTGTTAAAATGTATTGTTATTTTCGATGGCCCGGTATGCCCTTTTTGCATGTGTTGAAATTCAGACGTGTTCCTAGGACGGCGAATTCCTCGGTTATACTTTTACAGAGGCAAAATAGGAATCCTAACTGGTTAAAGTTGTAAAAAACAGATCGTAAATAACTTGTGGATAGAATCGATTTCAGCTTTTACAAAGACATTCTACGTCTGGCAAAAAAGTGGAAATTCCCTTTCAAAACCTTCAAACTTCCAACACGCAATCTAGGCTGACTGACGGCACACATGCACCGCCTCCGTGCAGTTTACGACAAATCGCAAAGTCAGACGGGGTGTGTTGTGAAGTCGGCGTGGACAGCCAATCGATAGGTTTCCCGTCAGTTCAACAGTGCTTTGAGCCCTCAAGAGGTGAGGGGGCGTTCCAATCTAGAAAATGGTCCTGGGATAGATAAATGGGCAACGCGCCGAGAGCACGGACGAGGAATCCGCGGTTTGAGTTCGTATACAGGCGTGATTGTTTGATTGTTAGGATGAAAGCTGAGGAGGCAAGCAGTCGATAATAAAACCATTGAGTACTCAGAAATGACTGGCCAAACTGATCTGATATTCGCCTTCACCCGCAGGGGTAGTAGTCTAACTCCGACCTACAGTGTTTAAAGTGATGCACAGTAAGTGGGCTACTCTCATGAAATCTCGACAGAAATTCCGAAATGCGTTTTCGTTTCGAAAAAATTAATTAGGTGGGATCGTAATATTAATCATCGTTCAACAAAATTTTATAATTATTAGGTTACCCGAGGATGCCGGCTTTCGAAAAAACTTCCTTCCGGCTGCGGGCAGAAACTATACTCTGTGATAAATGACTTCATGTTTGACACGCTTTTTTTCATTGATTTTCGATGCCCTTAAAGATTCGATTATGTTTCATGGTAAACATGCACAAAGATATTCATTCTTTCGCCCATTCAGTAGAAAGTTACGTCTGCTTTTAATTTTACACTCGAAAGAAAGGTGGGATTTGGTTTTGTAAAACCTTTCCAACTCCCGAATAATTTTTAACCCAACCTGTCGTTACACTTGCATTCAGGGTTCCCAAACTGCAAACCGTATAACTTCCGCGTACGGAACACCATACATGTCTCTGCCGTTTAAGAGGGGACCATATGGGGTTCATAAAATAAAGCAGTGGATTTGAGCCACATTGTTAACTTTACAAGCTACATTGGTAAATGCAGATATTTCACGGTATTGAAAAATCTCACAATGAGAAACTTTTTAAAGTCGAATTAAACCATACCTTTGAATATAAAATTGAACGAAGACGCAATTTTCTCCTGAAAGTGCAAAAGAATTTATATTGTTGTGAATGTTTTCCATGAAATTTAATTGGATCTTTAAGGGCATCCAAAATCAATTAAAAAATGTATGCTACTTGAGTAGCCATTTTTTAAGTAAGATGGTTTTCGAATGCAGCCGAATATAAGTTTTTTTCGAAAGCCAGCGTGCTGGGACAATTTAATTAGTATAGATTTATGCTGCACAATGATTGGTTTTACAAACCTGCTTAATTAATTATTTTGAAATGGAAACGCATTTCGGAATATCTGTCGAGATTGTATGAGTAATGAAGAAGGAGACACGATCACCGGGACAAGAGCCTTATTAGCCTGACGTTTCGGATTCCTACTCGAATCCATCATCAGAGACAAAAGAACAGAAACGGGTGGTTGTTGCACAAGGGGCTGCGGTATTTATAGGATGCAGCAGCCATGCCACCGCATGCCTATGAACGTTCACGGCTTCCCCTTTCATCCGGGATTGTCACACTTGGGGTGATCATTGCTTGATGGCCGACATTCGAGTCGATAATTGCCGCAATTTCATCACGTGCGTTGGATGTTGGCGTGATGATTGCTCGACCATCTGATGCGTTGACCCGGGTGTTGGGAAGAGTGTTCACCAGTGCGCTCCCCGCGTGGCCAATTACTCCGCCTAGACGAAGTCTTAGCACGCTGTATTGAATGGGAAGATCGTTGCACTTGTTGATGGACTGGGGGCCAGTAAACCATGATTCCAGTAGCTCTCGGCTCACTCGGTTGTCACCTCTTGCGAGAATTTCGGCCTCATCGAATTTAAATGTGTGGCCGGATCTCGTCGAATGAGCCGCAACTTGAGAGCTGGCGTCATTTCTGCGCACCGCTGCCGCGTGTTCGGCCATTCTCGTTCGGAGCTGTCTTCCGGTTTCTCCGACGTAGTTGCTTTGTCCGCAACTGCACCAGATCCGATAAACGACTCCAGACGTTTCTAGCCGTGGCAGTGGGTCTTTCGGTTTCATGATCAGACGCCTGATGGTTACCGCAGCCCCTTGTGCAACAACCACCCGTTTCTGTTCTTTTGTCTCTGATGATGGATTCGAGTAGGAATCCGAAACGTCAGGCTAATAAGGCTCTTGTCCCGGTGATCGTGTCTCCTTCTTCAAGACTACTTCCTGGGACTCGGCTCTTCGCTTCTATTGGCATTGTATGAGTAAGCCCACCTACTGTGACAGACGATGGATAAAGACGGGGCATTCGCGAGACAGGAGAGTGTAGCAGGATATCGACCCGCCCACGTTTTGATTCTCGTTGCATCTCGAGCAATAGCATCTTGGAACTGCACCTCAGAGTATGCACAGGTATTCAGCGACTCCTCATTTACCGGCTCTCATCTCTGACAACTTTCGTCACGAGAGACTGGCCGCCGTCTGTTTTTTACGGCAAGGATAAAGCATATGTCCGGGGGCAGAAAAAGGTAACCGATGGAGCGTGTCTCACGAGAATGTTGGTACTAGGTGGTTATACGGGCGAAGCCTCGCAGTGAGTAGTTAGGGGACCCCGGGAAGAAAAAGGAGATCGAGGAGGCGATGCTGCAAAATTATCTGCATAGACTCATTGTTCCGCAAACCCACGCATAACTGGGTACAAATTTGTCCGCATTTTAGGAAACACAAGGCGCATCTTCTTATGCATGTTATCACCACCGTAATGTCCAGGTACCCAAAGCAAACACTATTACACGACCAACTCCTTTATCTCTGTTTTACAGGGCAGTCCAACTTCGTTAACGTATCCTTGGCGCAGCAGTTAGAATTACTTTATGTAGAAAAAAACTTACATGGCGGACAAACCCGTTGGGAAATCTAGTTACCTTTTTCTGATAAGCCATATAGGAATCAAAGGAAAGATGAAATCGTCATAAAAACTGTATACTTATAAGCTCCCAAAATCT